AATCTCTTCTATGGCTTTGTCCCCAACATCTAAGTTTACAAACCTCGTGACATTCAACCAGGGCTTTAGCCAGCGCCCGTTTTACCGTCAATTGACGGTATTTTTTCCCGTCGGACGGTAAAAATTTAAGTCCTTACCGTCAACATTGACGGTCAAAAATCGTGGGTGAAGACATTAAACTTAGCAAAAAATGTAGCGAATTTGAATGAGCCACGGCGCGGGGTCTTTCCAAAGCGCGTCGCGTCTTTTCTAAAACGCCGCGGGCCCACACATTTCTTATTTAAATACGGCGGGAAACCTGACTTCAAGGAACGTGCCGATGTCTGTTAACTCGGTTCTTTTCTTCAATGTTGCTGTCTGTTTAAACAACATGTGCTAACGGCCACATAAGAACAATGGCTCGACTCAGACTCACGCTGGTAACTGTACATGACAATAAGATAAATAAACAACATGTGGCAACGAACAAAGAAATATCAAACGTTTTGAAAATATACTGTACTTGAATTTTCATACCATCGCAAGAAAACGGAGATCGATCTACGCAAAGTGGCTTTATCATTTATATAAACTTCGTTAAACCACCTTCGAAGACTTGAGCGGCAGCATAAAGATAAATTTTCTGGAGCCGATCGCTGAAGCAAGTTTTTGCCGGCGTACGTAACTCCCTCCGCGGCAAAATCCCATATGCCGTAGCGAAATCGCGTCTCAGCACTTCCCCAAATCAACTCCATGGCCGCTAAAGTCTGCAAATGAGGTTAAACTTCCTCATTTCGGTTGAGAAGCGAAGCTACTAGTATAAAATCATGTGCATGGCGGCCACTTTGTTTGCTACCCGAAGTCTTCCGAATGATCTAAATAAGGAAATCGTCGGAAATCTGAGCCACATCCCTCGCTGTCGGCATGCGCTCGGGGCTGGCTCGGTGGAAATCGGAGGCTGTGGCGTCAGGACTAGGTTTATTTGCATGGCTCGGGAAGCTGCCGCGGCTTGAATCGCAGCGGGATTTGGGCGCCGGGCGGGTCAAACAAAGGGAATATGAAGTTGTGAGGACCATAGTTTTTTTTTTTTCATTCTTCAAATTGCAGATTGTGTAATTTTTATCCTGAAATCTTGAAAATCTATCTGCAAATTGCAGACTGAAGACGGGTATTTAGAACACTGAATACATGAAGTGTGCGGGGGGGCATGATGTCGATCACCGGATCATGATTTTTTTTCGCGTTGACCCTGATTCAACCCTAAAATAATACTCGAAGAGAACTTCAAAAGTCATCTTTTACTAATCAGATATAATTGTTTACATTATAATCATTTGATCAACCTGATCTATTAAAAATTGTCAATGGAAAATACCTTGCCAAACAATGCAATACCTATTTAAGTTAATTAAACACTCACTCATTAATTAATTAATTTCCTAAATACAAAGACATGTTGGTGAAAGTTAGGCACCCAGGTAATATAAATAGTTCCACAGACAGCTATGTAGGCCGGAGCTTCTATTGCGTGCGATCTACGTTTGGTCAGAAATACACCCCCCCCCCCCAACCACACACACACACAAAAACACCGATCCGGGAACGCCTGAAAAGGAGGCTTTTAATAAGCTTTGCCTGCAGCGCCTTGATTGGTCGGACGTGTGACCCTCTGGACTGCCGGCTAATGGAAATCTGAACATCTAGACTAATCCACACTGCTAATGCTCATTGACATAATTTATGCAGTTTATTAAAATCCTTGATTACTGTGATTATAGACATGTCTTTATCAACATTTTTGGCAAATAATAAAATCAAGTTATTGTTCAAGACAAATTAAGTTTGTTTTGTCAGCAGCTTTGTTATGCAACATTAATAGAACTATGATTTTGAAATTAGCAACCATAATGGAAAGTATACAAACGTCCAAGGCATAAATGGTAAAAAGTGCACTCGCAACAACGACATCTAGCGACATGCGCCAATTAAAAACGGGTCTGCATGGCCGTCGCAACAACGACATCTAGCGACATGCGGTGACTTAGCATGTCTGCATGGCCGTTGAAGGGTGGAACCGTTGATCCATCCATCCGTTGATCCAATCTCAATCTCGTCTGAGTTACCATTTTCGCGCATGCGAAAATGGTAAAAAAAATCATGTTTACCGAAGGAAAACATATTGTTTTTACTCAGTTTCTTCCTCTTCTGTTCCAAACACTAACCACTGACCTGGCCAATGACATGATTTGTTGACATATGTCACCATGGTGACTGGCGTTGGGTTACATAATGTTGCAATTTCATGGTCTGCTCTGCTCCTGTCACCATATACTCGTAGCACAATGTACTACAAGTATATGGTGACAGGAGCAGATGTAATGTGTTTGAGTAAGAATTAACACTGGGCAGATCATGTCCAAAGGTAAACATTATGCATTTGCTTTGCAAATGTTACTTCAGATCTCTAGTTTAGGTTAAGTGTTTTAACAAGGATTACATGTATATTTAAAAGAACATATAGACATAAGATAAAGTTTGTATAGTCCCATAGCTGTTTTTAAGCAGTAGAGGGGGAGTTATTAATCCACTGTGACTAGGGTACGGTATTGGGAAGTGGAGCACACCACTTCCTTTTACCGCCCCAACCAAAGTCAGGTACCCATTTTACACCTGGGTGCAGTGAGTCATTTACACAACGTCTAGCCAGAAATGCCAGGAATCAAACCATTGATGTCTCAATCTCAAGTTCGTAAGCCAGAGTGTGTTTTTTTTTTTAACTGAAACTGGAGACAATTATTTGCCTTTTAAAACATCACCACATCCACATCCAGAGGTGAAGTGGGTTGGAAAGTTTTGTTGTTACAGCTCTCATATGTATGAATACAGATGAACACACAGATAGGATGTTACAACGAAGTTATCCCAACCTTGTTTAAAGTTAAAACTTTGACCACACCAATTTAATTTCTTGGTTAACGGTTAGCGGGCGGGCGAAAAAATAAAATAAAAACAGGCCTAGGCATCCTATTATGGCCCAAAATGGTACAATAGGAGCCATGAAGTCAACACACCAGGCTGGTTCAAAATTTAAACAATGAAATTTGAACTTTTAATGATACCATTGCATTGAAAGGTGGAATAACTGTAACAACTAGGATGAAAAGGACTGTTTTCAACTGTTCATGGCAAAATATGAGCATTTTGCAGTTGATTCTGAATTTTTATTTTTATTTGCAAATCAGAAAAAAATGAAGCGGGCGAATCCGTTAACCAAGAAATTAAATTGGTGTGGCCTTTTGGTCCAACACAAAAAATTCTCTCACCCAGCTCTCACCTAAAGCCAGGTTCCAAGAACACACATGGCCAAGCTCTGCCAGTTCAGAGGTGTCTCAACACATCCACAAAGAGTCACATGTACACTTTGTTTCACTTGACACTGTAAGGATTTTGGACACTGAACAAGACTATTTGTTGACAGGGGTGAAGGAAGCCATATACATCAGGGCCCATCACCCTTCATTGAATCTACATCGTCTACCAGATACCTTTGACCCAGTGTTGACGTCACACTTCAAAGAAACCACGTGACAAGCCTCGCTGGGTCAGTCTACTGAGGAAGACCAGAGTGCCTGGTCGAAAGCTCTAGGTGAGAGAATTTTTTTGTGTTGGAACAACGTTTTAACTTTAAACAAGATGAACTTTCATGATTTTATCCCTACCTTGGCGACCCTGAAGAGCATGTAGGCGTTGCGAGGTGAGCTGAGGTCCAGGCGGAAGACTCTGGTCAGGAAGATCTGGAACAAGCTGGTGTAGAACAGCAGGTTATCTGCAACAAACTGGGCCCTGGGAAAACACCACACATACTGTCATGTAAGTTCATCTGTGTTTGTAGTAATCATAGTAAAACATTGAACTTTATTCCAACACAAGGGTTACAGAGCGATCAAATTATCAGGATAATGAATGACCAATCACTTCACAACGTGATCTCGCGAGAGTTACGGTTTACAAACGAGATCACGTTGTGAAATGATTGGTCATACGCGAAAATTTGATCCCTCTGTAACCTGTGTGTTGGAATAAAGTTCAATGTTTTACTATGACCACACACACATTGGCAGGCGACTATGTACACTGTCAGGCTATGTACAAAGAACTTTGTTAATCGGATATAGGGATTTTCTTATATTACACAACTCTCTCACGACCTTGTTTTGATGTCAGAGCTTCTGGAGTAATGCTTCTCACCACTACCTGGTATATGTACCTAATAGATTGTGCTTTTGCGGCAAGAACACAATCCCAAACATGACCAAGTTTTTTGTATCTCATCCCGGTTCATCACTGGGGTTGATTTTATTATCCAGACTACTCCAAACCCATTAATTTGTCTGTTGTTCTCTCTGTATATTTTTTTTTTATTCCAACATGTAATCACAAGACGTGGTGACAGCACACTCAAGTTTTTTCAACTTATATTAATGCCGCCACCAACACAGGGGATAATACAATACTCATTTTCACCTGAGTTAAGTGAGGAAAGTCATGGAAAGTGCCTTTCCCAAGGGCACAAGATTGGTGGCATGTCAGGACTCAAACCCGGGACCTCTTGGTTCCAAGGCGTCGCCACGGAACGAGTCAGAATCATTCTCAACAAAAAAATAATCATGTTCCAAAGGCTGTTTACCACTTGTCAGGGCTCATCTTGTCCCTGCTGTCCCTGCCTGGAATGTTGGGTTTGCTGTGGTCCGAGTATCGCCAGGGCTGGACGTAACTCAGCCACGTCTCCAGCATCAGGCGGAAGGTGTGGTCTAACGGCCAGTGGTCAAACCCGTGACGCAGGAACGCGTACAGCTTTTTCTGCACAAACTGAGGGATGATCGCTCTGCAGAAAAGAGGGACGAATTTCTTTCATTTTAAATATCTGAACCCCTACTAGCAGTGTTCCAGGCAGTGTCTGTCTTTCTGTCATTTAATATACATGTACATAGCACGTTGGCAGAACGTACTGCGCCTGCGTAGAACCCTGTATTTTCACGGTTTTCGATGTATTTTTGGTCAACGTTGCATTAGAATTTTTTCCGACATAACATTTGGAAACTGCAGACGAGATGTTTTCCTTATGTGCGCGAATACGACCTTATATGAGACATTTTGCCGAAGTCCTATGTACAATACATTACGGGTTTCGCGCAGGTGCAGTACGTTCTGCCAACGTGCCCATGTACATGATTGTGTAATTTTGCCCAAGGCATCATCTCTGAATGACAAAAGTCGGCATGTGCATGCGCAGATAATGGGAAAAGACACATGTTGCACCACGAGACATTAGGGAGCAGGCGGAAACTATGAAGGATGGCACCCAGGGCAATTAAACTAAACTACTAGAAAAATTTGCCCCTCAAAATGCAGGAAACAGGGTCAAGATTTTAATTTTCACTGAGTGAGCTATGTTTTATTTTACTTGAGTCAGATTTTTACAAGACTTAAATAGCAAGCTGTCATTTTGAGGAGACAAGGCAGTATTTTGGTTGGTCTGGATGGGAGAGGGATTGAGACCTTTAAACATTTTTCCACCCCATGAATAGAAACCCTTCTAGTTCTGTAGACTTGCTGACCAGATGACAACATCATCAACATTGAATAAAATTTGCAAATTGGATGGGTGAAGTTTAGGTACATAGTGCTGTGTACTGGTTTGCTGGAACTACGAAGGACTTAGGTGCAACTCCAAAAAAACCTGAACATCTGGAACAACATGTAGTTCCTGACTTATTAAAAAATCATGTCATACTCCCCTTTTTATCCTAAACCACCTGAAATCTTCAAAAGTCGAAAATTTGCACTGCAGAATGAAGAAAATGCAATGCCATTGGGCATCGTCAAGTGTTGGCCTTGCTACAAAATTTTGCAGTAAAGATGCCCTATTTTCCATTGGGAAACATTAACTGAGAAGTTCCTTTAGTATTTTGTATATGCCATGGGTTTAGCTCAGGACTTACAAATCCGGACCTGAACCTAAACCTCTGCACTTGAATCCAGACCTGGACCTAAATGTGGGTTACTTTAGTTACACAGCACTAAGTATAGGAGCATCTAAGTCTCCTGTATTGAGTTAAATAATGTTAGCTACATGTAATGACGTTCACAGCATTTCTACCATCACAAGGTGTATGAGGAATTTCATTGTTAAAAGTAGGGTCCATCTCGATGTGATGAAACAATTTGAAATGGTTTACTGGTTATGCTAAACATACAAAAATACATGACACTGTGGCTGACCTTTTCAGTTCTTCAATAGGCGGTAGTGCAGGTGAGTGGTATGGTGATGTCACAGACACCTCCTTCACACTGTTGGAGAAGTAGTGCACATGTTTGACCAGCATCCTGACGATACGGACATGGTCCTTACTGGGCATGAAACTGTCCTTCAACTGCTGAGCAAGGTCACGGTAGGTCACATCTAGGGAGTTCTGAACAAAAACAAACAAAAACTTCTTACTTTTGACTTATACATTTTGCTGTTAGATATCTTTAGCAAACGTTTTCAGGTTTATGTTCTTCTTTTTGTACAGGTGGTATGCAGAAAAATCATATTCAGTTTGTAAAAAATTATCAACTTTTCTTCTTATGATTGAAATAATGACTTCATTTTTTATCATTTTTCATCATTATCTGTCAACCCTAGGGGTCGGGTAAGGCAGTTTTACTGAGTGCCATGACTATAGACTTTTTAGTTGTTACTTTTTACTGTAAATTTTTTACTATACTGTCTCAAACTTGATGTGGATCAGATTGGTACGTTTAGTGAATCTGTGGCTGAGATTTGCGAGGTATGTTTACAGTCATGAATCTGTGGCTGAGATCAGTGAGCTATGTTTACAGTCATGAATCTGTGGCTGAGATCAGTGAGCTATGTTTACAGTCATGAATCTGTGGCTGAGATCAGTGAGCTATGTTCACAGTGGACTTACACCACCCTGTGGGGTTGCTGACTTCCCTTCTGACTGTGCGGTGGGGATCCTCAGTGCGTTCTGATGGAACAGCAAACAAGTAAAGCAACACAACACACAAAGCTGAGTTAGTTACCACTTAGGCGTGTTAGTCAAACTATACCAAACAAGGTAAATCTACAAAAAAAAAAGCTTTAAAGGGGCACTATGTAACATTTCACACCAAAAATCAAAATTAATTTAAAAAAAATTCATGTGGTTGTAAAATCCACCTTTCAACAAATTTGCATAATATCTCACATTTCTGATATTTGTGGTTGACACTAAAACAGCCCACATGAGGTACACTCAGTTTGGGGTGCCACCACAAACTACCAGAATGTAAACAAACTATGGCTGACAACTGTGTTTCCTGCTTTTAAACACACTCAAAAGGCATAGTATTTGGCATCAACACTTGCCATTTCCAATGGAGTAAGGTTGATTCAGCTTAATATGAAAAGAAGTGATCAAAAATTGATTTCTTATATGTCCTATAATGTTACATAATGCTGCTTTAAGCCAAAGAAAGATTAAAACGAATGTCAAAGAAACTGTAAATTAAACTGTGCAAGCAAAATGTGCAGAACCAACAGTACTTAAAATCTGACATTACTCAAGTTAGTTAGCAAAACAAGACCAGCAATCAAATTCAAATGCAAATAAAAGATTTTACTAAAAAAATAAACTATAAGACATGCTCTAAAAGCAACAGGACTGCAGGAGACTGTGCGAGTCAGTAAAGCACTTTATATCATACCCGGGCCGCAATAACGTTCAATAACGGGTTCCGGACCGGGCCTTACTTTACGGTACGGTCAGGGCTTCCATTGATAGAATGATTCGAACGCATTTTGCACTAACTGCGTGCACCGCATTCGAAAATTCGAATACAGAATCCGGACATTGGAATTGATGTTGTTGCATTTTAGGGTTTAGTGGCACCAACTTTTGGCTCATCTTGCATTGAAGGGTGCATTTTCTTGGGTGGGTATGACATAAATAAAATACTACACGGTGTATTCCACATCGCCCTCGGTTCCGGCCCGACCGCGGGTCGGATCGCCCTCCGGCCGCAGATCCGACCCGCGGTTGGGCCGATACCTCAGGCAATACGGAATACCCCGTGTTGTATTCTATAGACCCTTCACAGTAGACATGGGGACACTATAGATAGGGCTCGTAATGTTTGGGTCAATGCAATGGCATATGCCAGGTTGTTCTCATGGAGAGGCAGGCACTCTAGAGTAGGCTGGACTGTAATCCAGTTGTATGGAAGTATTGTTTTGGGTGGTGCACAATCTGCACTGTACTAGTTGTATGTTAAAATATATATGTCAAAATGAGTGGGCAGAGATTATTGAGCACCATTTGATTGACAGGGGTTTGACCCGGTATCCAGTCTTACCTGGTTTAACCAAAACTCGGTCACAATCTGTAGAAAACTCTCCGACAGCCAGCACTCGTGCACGCCGGTATCGCCCGTGGCCACGCCCTGGCTGATGAGCGCTCGCCTGACCAGCACGTTGGCGTGCGGACTTCCGTAGGGGGAGGACAGGCCGTGATGGTACGGTCCGGCGGGGGACTGTTGTCTGACATGGCTGGGGGAGTGGGGGCTGCCTGTACAGGAGACACATACACATTATGCCCTTGGGACGTTGTGCCCTTGGGAAAGGCACTTTACACGAATTTCCTCACTCCACCCAGGTGTGAATGGGTACCTAACTTCGGTTGGGGAAAGTCGTATTGAGGTCACCTTGTGGCGCCGAATGGCAGCCGCACAGACCCTTGCGACAGTTCCACAAAAATGATTGTGGAACAAATATGTGTATTATTTGTATTATTTGATTGTTGTAATTGTTGTGATTTGTATTGATTATTATGTGATACCCTGCACCAATTCAGCCGTATAAAGGCTGCGACTGCACGGGTACTGTTTGGACAATAAAACCATTTATTATTAGGTCACACTCAGTCTGAATTCATCTTATGGATGACATCCTCTGAAGACCCCCAAACTAGTGCGAATGAAAGAAAAAATCCAGCCAACAAAAGGCAGCTTATCTACAGGAACACAAACTGGCATAATTTGTGGATTTGCGGTAGTAGCAGTACATGACTAATTTTCATGCGATGCTAAAAATATGTGTTGACAATTATTGAAAATGACAATCTAGATGAGAACATCTCAAATTATTTATCATTTTTATATTTACAGGTCTGGTGTAAGAATCTTGCCTAAGGCTACACCAACTTAATTTCTTGGTTAACGGATTCGCCCGCTTCATTTTTTTCTGATTTGCATAAATTCAAAATCAACTGCAAAATGCTCATATTTTGCCCTTAACAGTTGGAAACAGTCCTTTTCTTCCTAGTTGTTACAGTTATTCCATCTTTCAATGCAATGGTATCATTAAAAGTTCAAAATTCATTGTTTAAATTGTCAACCAGCCTGGTGTGTTGACTTCATGGCTCCTATCATACCATTTTGGGCCATAATAGGATGCCTAGGCCTGTTTTTTTTTTGCCCGCCCGCTCCATTATTTTTCTAGAAAAATCTGCTAACCAAGAAATTAAATTGGTGTGGCCTAATATACAATGTATATGTATTGCTTTAAATGCACATTGTACAATAAGTGGTTACCAATAGGACTGGCAGTGTTGGGTAGTGTGGGTGCCTCTCCCTCCACTGGTAGGAAGTGGTTGAGGTAGTCCTCCAGCAGGCACGGGTACAGCATGTCTGCCGGCAGGACCCAGTTGTTCATCACCTTGTGGTTCTGGGGATGAGCCATGAAGTACGCAAACTGGAAGAAGAAAAACTCAAACGCATCTTGGGGGAGAGAAGTCAAGGATAATAATAATAATAATAAATGGTTTTCCAAACAATATACCCGTGCAGTCGCAGCTTTTTATATTGCTGAAATGATGCAGGGTATCACATAATAATACACGACACATATATTTGCTCCACAGATTTTTTTGTGGAACTGTCACAAGGGTCTGTGCGGCTGCCATTCGACGCCACCAGGTGACTTCACCGTAAAGTGCAGCCTGGTCCGGAACACCGATATCGAAGGTTATCGCGGCCCGGGTATGATATAAGGGCAGTTATCACACAGGTTGGAACACCAGTATTGAACACCTAGCTATAACATAAGGACTGTTGTAAAGGATACTGAGAGACAGGAAGTTGGCTGGACGTCCGTGCTGTAACATCTGTAGTTTGTTGCTGTAAAACACAGGAACAGCTCCTTCCTGTAACGCCAGCCTGGTGGGCATCTAGGGGGGAGGGGGGCATGTCAGTCAGTCATACATGTAGTCTTTTTAGTGACTAGTAACCAGAGTGCAATGATATGAACTACATGTGTGATATCTATGCTTATACGAACTTGATATAATACATTTATTCATAATCATCATGGATTACTAGGCAGGGCTGGAAATACTGGGTGCATGTGCACCTTAGTGCACCCAAATTTTGACCTGTGCACCCAATTTTTTTCTGTGTGTGCACCAGTGCACCCAAATATTTTCAAAGGTTTACATAATATGTAAAGGATGTTAAATGTATAGTAGTATCTAAGTGTCAGAAAAATAATAAAATCATATTGTTGTAGGTGTTAAGAAATGAAGCATAACTAGCCCCTGCTGACATTCTACTTATTCTATTTTATAATGTACACCCAAAATGTTTTGCTGCTCCAGTGCAACTATTCAAAAATGAATTTCCAGCCCTGCTAGGCATTGTCAGATAGTTATGACTAAAAGTTTAAATGTCATTATTTTGACTAATATATCAAAATTTATAATAAGTATGAGGTATGATTTTTGATGCCCTATGAAAATGTAATTTCAGGCCAGCTGATTTATTCCTTCAGTTACATTATGTAGAAAATGTACATGTACAATGCACTTCATGGATGTATACTTCAAGTGCACTACCACCTGAGGCAGATAGATGGCACTGCTGTACTATAGTAAGCCATAACTGAGTCATAGAGTTAAAACGATCACTGAACAGCTTACTGGTAAACATGTCAAAGGGAATTCATATCTGATGAAGGCATCAGACTGCAGCTTGTAGAAGAGTCTGAACATGGGACCTCCTGGACACAGGAATGCTTTTACTGCATTGAACTCCACCTAGAGGGAATAGGAACATAGGGGATAGGGTTATATTGTTACAACAGTTACTACAATTTAGAGAAGTAACATTTGCAGAGCAATTGCATAATGTTTACCTTCGGACATGATCTGCATGCCCTGTTAATTCTTACTCAAACACATTCACATACATGTACTACGAATATATGGTGACAGGAGCAGAGCAGACCATGAAATTACAACATTATGTATAACCCAACACCAGTCACCACGGTGACAGACGTCAACAAACCATGTCATTGGCCAGGTCAGAGGTTAGTGTTTGGAACAGAAGAGGAAGAAACTGAGTAAAAACAATATGTTTTCCTTCGGTAAACATAACAATGTTCTAGCCAGCATCCGGCTTTCCGACATTTGGAATATACAACTGACACTCTACCTATGTACCCGGGGGAGCCGACATCTAAAATACCAAACTATATAGTATATGTAAACACTAGAACAGCTACATACACTCTATCATTTTTCCCATTGGCCTGTATTATTCCCCAGTGAAATGCCCTTCCTGGCACGGTGGTGACTGTTGAGTTGTTCCGTGTCGGCCAGCAGGCCTGCCCACCCTATCCCAGGTCCCAACTTTACCATCCTAACTTTACCCGTCATATGTTGCAATGAAGAAACATTCCTTGTTTGTGAATGGTTTAGTCCAAGCTGGCATGCATGCATGGGGGCCTGCATGGGGGGTCCCGACAACGCTTTCTAAATTTTTACAGCTCTCTAAATTCTGATTTAGCTCTCGATTATGCTTTACAATAAATTTCAAATGGCTACAACACATTACGTAGAATTCAAACGGCGAATACGCTCTATGCAAAATGCGCCAATTACGCTCTATGTTCAATTAGAGCGGTCCGTCTATGCTCTACGTAAAGTTAAAACGACCGATTACGCTCTACGGAAAAGGGCATGCGGGCCCCCATGCACACTGGTCATGATTGCATTACTTTCAAACACCATGTAGAACTGGAAATATGATGATGATGACTCACTGGTTGTGTTTTCCTGTTCAGAGTTTTCAGCCCCCATCCTGTGTAGTAGTTAAACCCAAAGATATTCTCTAGTAAAGTGGTGTAGATGGAATGAAGGTCCTGTATAAAAAGACAGAAACATTTAATTTGTATCAAAGTCTAATCATTGAAGAACAATCTCCGAACATTTACATGTGTGTTGAAGTTTTGACAGAAACGTTTCTAGCTTTGTACCAAACTGTTCAATCATTAAGTAAAGTATATAATGTCACTGTACTAAATTATTAGTATATAAATGTAATGCCCCTAGTAAGTGCTAGTGTTGACATACCTTGGTGTGATGTTCATCAATGATTTTGGCCAGTTCTGTGCATCTTTGTGGGATGTTTTGGGCCAAGGCTGCATTAAACTTGGTCTGAAAGTTAGAAGATATAACTAATAGTTAAGTCAGCTCTAAGGAGTTTTGTGTTTCGCGTCGGGTGTCCGAATGTTTAAGAACAAAACCCGACTGACTCCTATCTCTTAGCAACTATATTAACATTATAAGTGGCATAGAAAAACATCTCGACCGGAGATGATATGTATAAAGTTCGTTAACTTTTAGAGGGAGGGGGGCATCAAAATATTTGAATAACGAACACTGTAGTCACTCAGCATGTCTTCATGTTGCCATCGCACGTAAAATTCACCAGTTAACATCAATTAACATCTACAGAGAAGCTGCGAAATTATCTTAAAAGCGAAAAATGGACGTTTTATTCTACCTGAATACTGGAAAACCCGCCACTGACGCTGGGCGCCACCATCTTGGTTGGATCTTTTGATCTTTTGGTCCTGATGACCCAAAATTGTCGCGGTACGAAAAATATCTTACGTGGTGTCTGCTAAATTTCTGTCATCTCGTATGACATTGAATAATACACATAGAAAAAAATGTATAGTTTTGCTTTAGAAAATCTTCCGTAAGATTTTAGTCTAAGAATAGAGCTGACATGTAACGTTAGAGACAGAATTTTGCCAAATTATAATAACCAAAATCGAAGGTCAGCAGATGATACCATTATTATATGGGGGTTTATAGGAAACATTAAAAAAGTCAAAGGAATCACGTCTTATCACAAAAATCACTTAATAAAACAATCATGGAATACTTTCTTAGATATATGATTCAGCTATATCAGACAGTTTTTGAAATCATACAGCGTAGCGGTAACGTTACATATATAGTGAGAATCAAGAAATCTCAATATACCGTTCCCCATGATATCAGTGGGCTCGTCTACACCCATATGCCAACGTTACTCAGAAGCAGCTTCGCTCTTTGATCACTGAGAACTGCCTGACGCCGGAACATCGTGTCTGCTGCGAATTTACAATGCTTTTCATTGAAGACATCTCTTTCTGATAGAGTTGCTCCATTTTCTCCATGAAGCAGTGAAGGATACGTGCAAGTAGAATACCAGGTGGGCGTGTCTTCTTTATATATGCAATTGATCGTTTATTATTTGAAGAGATTGTGAGTGTGTGTGTGTGTGTGTGTGTGTTTGTTTGTTTGTTTGTGTGTGTGTTTGTGTACGTGTGTGTGTGTGTGTGTGTGTCTGTGTGTTAGTGAGTGTGTGTTTGTGTGGGATGGGGGGGGGTTGGTTGGTTGGTTGGTTGGTTGGTTGGTTGGTTGGAGGGTTGGTTGGTTGGTTGGTTGGTTGGTTGAGTGGGTGAGTGTGTGGTCGTGACTGTTTTTACATGCAGTTTCTCAGTGTAAAAGCATTGGACCTAGACCCTAAAAGCATGGAGTTAGAATACAGTATTTTAACTCCACATGATAAAAGCCATCTACCTGTGACAAAAATGTTGCTCTTCACTATGATCCCTCTTGGATTAGCACAACCATGTCACAGTACCTTGTCATTCAGAGACCTGGTTGCACGACCATCACCAACACCTATTTTCTCAATTTTGCTCATTTTGCAGCTGCTTTGTACGATTTGGTCGAAAAATTTTGCTGGTTATATATATATGGCTTTAACGCACATTGGTACGGTACATTGGTACATTGGTTGGTTGGGACGGTAGTTGGTACATTGAACCAATTCACAAACCATTTATAGGCCATGCCATGCTTGACTTTTTGTGGTCTCCATGCAAATGCCATGCCATGCTTGACTGTTTCACTTTGTGCCATGGTCTTTTATGATTCACATTCATATTCTCATATAGTAGTCAAGTGCATAGTCAATACCGCCACATCAAAATTATCCTGTATCAGTCTTAATACACGAAAGAAAAATATCGTTTTCTTGCAACTGCATAAATTATGTAGATGCTCGTCTAAGCTCGGGAGTTCGTACCCCGATGTTGGTGTTCCTTTTTAATTTAATTTCTTCTTTTAAACATCAGATGTTTTGCTTTTTTATTTTTCTTACTCAGGAATGTCAATAAGATAAATTTTTACTCTTTTGTATTTTTGCACTTTGCTGCTTCGTCTGGCATGTCTTGGCAAGCTACTTGAGTTTGCCGGTTCAAATCCTGCTGTCAACATTATTTTAATTTTCTTTTTAACAAGTCTGAAATGCCAGTTCTTTTAAAAGTTCTCCCGGGTTGGCGATGCCTTCATTTAGTTTTTTCCTGAGGCTGGCCCAGCTTTTTTAAAAGCTTTTCTTGTTTGTTTGGAAATGGACTGTTGCCTTGGTGCTCGACATGACATTAGATGAAATAAAATTGAGATGACAGAAAAAAATTCAGGCCGGCTCAAACACTGACAGGCTGACATCTTCTTCCCTTGTGATTATCATTAATTTACTCCCTGAGGATCAATTAAGGCCACAGCAAGCTATTTTTATGGATGACATCAGCGCGCGCATTAATTTTCACCTGATTTGGGAAAAAAAAAACAAATTTTGTTGCCTTCTGACAGTGGTCAATATGCCAAGATGTCTGTTGCCATGCCGGAAGGTGGAGGGCAGACAACTATGAAGAGAGGAGACAAGAAAAGGCTCTGAGTTAATGTTTTGTTTCTTACTTTGATGCAGTGATATGTGATGTTGGCTGTGTATATGTGATGCTCCCACTAAATCAAAACCATTTGTACAATGATTGAGTCAAAATTTTAAAATGTAGGAACCTTTTTTTTTTTTTTTTGCCCGCTCGCATTAGATTTGGGGTCTGCGGAGGATGTCATCCATAAAATTTACTTGCTGTGGCCAAAAGTGGGTTTTTCAGATACTAGTAGGGTTTTCAGTAAAAAACTTTCACTTCCAGATGAACAAATTGACACGTTGCTCTTTGATGAGCCCACCTTGTGAAGTCATACATAACATAATGCATTATTTGAAAAAAATTGGCATAGAAAGAAAAAGAGATTTCCAAGAAATTTAAGGGTATAACTGAATTACTCTGTAATTCCCAAGTTGTCAACGATTTTGAAGTGATACTATATAAGATTTTTGCGCCAAAACTGTAAATAGAAAATTAATTGAAATTTTCTCATCGAGATTGTCATTTTCAATAACTTTCAACATTAGCACTTTTAGCTGGTGTGTTATGCCGAAAGGCGGTTATACCGGCTATACAGATACAGATACAGAACATATTATTAGCGTCACTATATCGCTTTTCCAGCGACTCTGCGCAGCAAAAGACTACGTTGCGCCAGGCCTGCTTTTTTTAAGGCTCCTGGAAGGAAAATAAAGTGAACAAACAGCAATTTTTTATTCGGGTATCTTTGGCAGCTGCAACAAGCTTTTACAACGCAATGACGTTGATCTTAGCCACACTGCAAAAACCATAAGGCCTTGACAAGTATGTTTTATGGATGTCATGTTTTGTGGCCTAAACAAGGAATTTTTTTGCCTCATCATATTAGGTTTGGAGTCTTTGGAGGATTTCATCCATAAAATTTACTTGCTGTGGCCTTGACCACATTGACACAGAGTTTGATCTAAATGTAGATGCAATTTCTCATGTAAATATCCCACGAAACTTTGCCGATAAAAGCCATCCAAATGCCTTTGGTAAAATCCTAAGCGACCTTTGTATCCAATCTGACCTCCGCATTCTTAACGGACGGATTCTAGGTGATCTGAACGGCAAATACACGTGCTACCAACCGAAAGGCTGTAGCACAGTTGACTACGCCATCACTAACAGTTCCCTTCTCCACACGATTAATACTTTCAAAGTTCACACCCTGACCGATGTATCTGACCACTGTATGATTTCTCTGAATATCAGCGCGGACACCTGGTCAGTTAAAAACACAGCATCGCAAAAAAGTAAACTACAGCATATACCGAAACGGTTCATCTGGGGTCCAGACTCCAGAGAAAAATTCCTTAAAGCTTTAAACAGTTCACCTATCTCTAAGAAGATGGAGGGTTTTTATCCGACAACCATGAACCCAATTTAAACATCGATAATAACGTTCAAAACATTCAAGAAATATTAGAGTCGGCTGCGAAAGCATACGCTACAAATGAAATGTACTAAAAGGACAAGTAGGCCAAAAGCGAACAAGAAATGGTTCGATAAAAGTTGCTACGTCTTCAGGAATGAACTAAAAAACTTGAGATACCTTCTAATACAAAACCCAAAAAATCCGTTTCTGAGAGGTAGCTATTTTAAAAAGAAAAAGGAGTATAATAAACTTATCCGAATGCGCAAAAGAGAACATGAAAATAGTTGTCTAGAACAATTAGCAAATCTACAAGAAAACAACCCCACTGCGTTCTGGAACTTACTTAAAAAACTAAAAAAGACAATACCACACCCCAAGAAGATATTCCAAGTGACACATGGGTGGAACATTTTAAAGCCCTCCATGATAAATCCAGACAACAACGTCAAGCCTTCGACCTTGCCTTTGAAAAAGATATATTATGCAAATTAGATACGTTGCGGAAAGGTGAGGCAAATCCGAGTCCGCTAGATGACCCAGTAACGGAATTAGAAATAAATAATGCTATACACCTGTTAAAAAATAAAAAAGCAAGTGGAGAAGACATGATAACTAATGAAATGATTAAAGCAGGGAAATCAATCTTACTGGCACCGTTAGTTAAATTATTCAATCAGATTCTGTCAAAAAGAAATTTCCCCAAAGAATGGTCGAAAGGTTATATTGTTCCCATTTTTAAATCGGGTAGAAAGGACGAAGTGAACAACTATCGTGGAATATCGATATCTAGCTGCCTGGGCAAATTATTTACATCAGTGTTAAACAGAAGAATATCGACATTCCTAGAAGAGAACAAACTCATCAAACCAAACCAAACGGGCTTCCGGAAAAACTACAGAACTTCAGACAACATTTTCATACTTAAAACATTAATCTCAAAATATAGTCAATCGGGAAAACGTTTGTACGCTTGCTTTGTAGATCTCTCCAAAGCTTTTGATTCAATTTGGCACGAAGGTTTATTTTTCAAACTTCTATCTAAAGGCATATCCGGCAAGTGTTTTAGTATCATCCAAAGTCTTTATAACCAATCCGAAGCACGCGTTAAAACTATTGGCGGTTTAACAGAGAGCTTCCCTGTCCAGATTGGTGTCCGTCAAGGCTGCGTATTGAGTCCAACTTTATTCAACCTCTATATCAGTGACCTTGTTAACGACTTAAATATGGCAGACATTAACGCACCGCTATTACACCACTCAAAAGTAACAAGTTTGCTATATGCCGATGACATTGTCTTGCTGTCCGAAAGTCAACAAGGCCTGCAAAATGCAATAGACACGCTTGGTAGATACTGCCAAAAGTGGAAACTAACTGTCAACCTAAATAAAACAAAGATTATTATATTTAATAAGAAAGGACACACCTTTTCAAAACTTAGCTTTAAATTATTCTCCAAAGACATAGAA